GAAACCAGTTACTTTGTACTTAAATATTTGTAGTCTCGGGAAAAAGTGGAAAGACAAATTTTTATGACAAATGGATAGATAAATCGTAAATTTAAGGAAAATAAATTCTAGAGCCTTTTCTGTACCCCGCGCATCTCTCTCATTCATTAAATTTAGTTGTAAATGATGCTACCAAAGTAACAGTTAATTTTTTAACATTGTACAAGAATTGTACACGTTTTTTTCTACATCCTCATAGATTCCTACATAGATGGGACATACAAAATCATAATATCACTGATTTAACATTGAAATCTGTAAGTAATATAACATGGGAGAGCTTAATAAAAATATCAAATACTTTAATGGATTTTTTAACTCCTGTCAACTATACAGAACTATCATAAAAATATACCAGTAAATTCCTATCAGTTGGGTTAAGATATAAATCTACTCATGATTCACATAATCAAGCAAGAGTGGCCAAATATCTAGCAGGCAGGCAGCTAATAGCCCAGAACTGGTCCTGGATAGAATTGGAAGCGTTATACTAGTGTAGCTTCCACCAGCTAAACCAATCTTATTATGTACAAAAGTTAGTACAAAGACCCGGCACCGCATAGGCACAACCAGGTGGGGTCAGAACACGTAAGTTTAATAAATGGTACATGGTATATATAAAGTAACAATAATTGAGTAGGTGATAAGAGAAAATAATAAAATAAAGTTAAAATAAAATTAAAATAAAATAAAATCAGAGTAGCATACAGTACAATAAAATAAAATACAAAACTACATAAAATACAAAGTAAGATAGGATACAGTACATTATGAATAAAGTACAATAAAGGAGTACATTTTAAAAGAATACAATGAATGAGATATATACAACTATAGAATCCACAAACAATTTACATTAACTACATTGAGGAAAAATACAATGAGTCAAATATATACAAGTAAAACATACCAGCTAAACCGGGAGAGGTTAGTGCTCTGTAAAGCGCATGCGCAAATGAGTATAATCTGGCTGTTTGGAAGCTGACAATACAGTGCTTCCATTCCGCCACTAATATTCGAATATACAATAGCAATCTTATTGTTTTTTTCATACACAGAATAGAAATTTGTAATAAGATACATAATGCGGTTATAATAAATATTAATTTTAATTATATGAAAATAATTACACAATATGTATTTATTTTTTAGAAAATACAAGGGAAGCAGCGCTTCTACTGCTTCCAATGACGGCATGCCACTGAGAGAAATGTATACAATTGTCTAGATCAGGACTTCTTAAACTATCAGTCACAACCCCACATGGGATCATGTAACAGAATTAGGGGTTATGAAGCCTTAGCAACTATTTCTGAAGGATGGATGTATTCTCTGTTGATATTTCTGAAGAATGTCACTTCAATCTAAAATGCTCCTCTGTCAGATTCTCCAATACTGCTTACAAAAACCATTTTAATTTAAAATTAAAAATCACATTACAAACACATAACAGAGAAATAATTTGTACATCTTTTCTCATGCTCTGTTACTACTCTGTTTCAATTAAATCTACTCCCTATTCAGTCTTATTCTACTACCATTTACTTTTTTCAAACTTTGCATTCCACATGCCATCATGTGAGTTAACATCAGCAAAGTACTCATAATTTAATTATGAAAAATAAAAATTTTAATAAAATGTTCTTGTCATTCTTCAGCATG